TAATTTTTGTAAGAAAAATTTACTCATAACTCTTACCTGTACTTGTTCTAAACCTCGAGTGTATGTTGGATTCTCAAATGCCACTCCAGTGGCTGCCTTACCATTTGCTCGATGTCGTCTGCAGAAAATAATGGCGGCGGCTGCTAACAGCACCGCCAAAATGCTGGCAACGATGCCGCTTATCGTGCCCACAGCATTCGAGTATGATGTTGTCGCGGAGGTAACATGATGCTCGCCAAGTGTGAATTTTATCGGTTCCGTTAAAACACTGGCACCTGGAAAAGTGGGAAAAACAAAGAAAATATGAAAATTAACGAACGAGTGTAGTGTGTGGCAGTGATATGAAATGGTGGGACCACAAAACGAAACATGGTAACAAAATATGGGCAACCAGAGAGTAGACATAATAAATATGTATTAGTACGTGTGCGTGTGACTTTTGAAATTGTCGAAGATATATTTTCCGAGACAATAAGTAATGGAACTATTTGGAGAATATTAAATTGTAAAGGCTGGTGGTGGGTTAATAAAATACGTTGCCGAAAAGTAGGCAACATTTTTTAAGTTTATCTTTGCTAACGAATGAACAAATATTGGTTCCTTTTATCTTTGATTCAAATTGTATTTTCTTTCCAAACTAATCTAGAACTTTATATTGATATTTAATTTAAAACAGATTTATCCCTCTACCGCCATATTTTAATATTTCATAAAATTTCTGACAAACTTCACATTCATTTTTCTAAATCATAGTGGCAGTGCCAGCCACTTAAGATGCTCACGTTTACGGTCATGGTTACCCAAAATCATTTCATTATTTCTCGTACATAAATTTTCCAATTTCGTTCACACCTTCATAAAAACAAACTCACATACATACACGTAATGTACATGTGCACTTGACTTGTGCATCCTTCATTTCAACTTACCATAGGTATTGCCAGCTTTCACAACCAACTCGTATAAGACATCCTTTGTGAGACCATCTATATTCACACTGGTTTCCTTGACGTCAATGCGTCTCATCTCACTGCCACTTAGTGGTGGTGCCGTGATATTACCACCACCACCTCCCATTGGCATGCTTGTTGCATTATTATTCAGCATTGTTGGCTCGAGAACAGCAGCAGCACCGTTAACACCAGCACCGCCATTTATTGTTTCGCTAGATGTCACATCGTTACTAATTATGGCCGCTTCATGGTAGAAAATACGATAGCCATCAACAGCATTGGGATTTTTGGTTGGTGGATCCCATCTGTAAAGATATGCACAAAGGTACTAAAATTTGCATTTGTTATACATACTCTATATACTTATATACGGGAAATATTCATATAGATAATTCATATGTAGATAATTAAGACTTAGGTACATAAAGGCCTCAATTTTTAAATTCCATATGAAAACAAATCAAAATTTAGTCAAGTTTACGAAACAGTCTTCAAAAATCCATCATCCATGTCATCGAAGTTTTGCAGTGATTTCGATCATTAAACTCGACTCCCAAAAGATAAAACTGACTGATAAATACTATCATCTCCCATACAGGCAAAACTCAAATAAACCGCGGAACTCTAAGGATCAATATTTCGAGCCTGGGAATTACTTGGCGATATATAACCGATTAGAGGTCAACACCTCCTCTTTCTTACCCTGGCATATTTTCATAACCTTGTTTTCCCGGAGTGAACATTTACGCCATATCGTGCATATGAACAATCTTGATTGATTTTACCCGCTGAATATTGACCGATCATTAGCAAAACAGCCCTTCTAGTTAGTTGGCCAGATTTTCTTGAAAACATACACAAAAATTAAGTTTTCCTTCCCTTTCATCCTCTAAATATCATACGATCTTTACCGAAAATTGTAAGCGTTGTCCTTGACCGCAAAAAAATCATAGCTATCAGCGCGACATTTCCCCCCTCTAGTATTGTAATACAAAATAATAGCAGAATAGGTAGATCCCTATAAAGATTTACGTATAACTCCAACATCTGAGTACATACAACATGATTGGTATCAATTTAAAGGTCAAATAATTCTCTTGGATATATTGTCAACTTCTCCAGTCTATATCCTTCAAGAGTAAAAATATACGTAAAATTTCGTGATATTCGGGTCATATTTGTGGCCTATAGAGCGACCAGAACAAAACAGACAAAAATAAAGTGTTTGGTCCATTTCATCCCCAAAATATTAACCAAAAACAATAGAGGTCTTCTTTGACCAGATCTCGTCGTGACGAACCCATAACTATTGCATGTATTGTGATTACAAATTATAATGGACAGAGAGACATACATGTCTAGATCGACTCAGCTAGTCCAGATATTACGATCGGTATACTAAAATGTGGGTCCAATATTTAGAGGCGTTGCAAACTCTTGGGGCCACAAAAACTATAATACTCTGATACGTTTATTTATCATTTTGGAGTTCTTCGTATAATAATTTTCAATATAGGTTCAACTTTTCAATATAGGTTCCGCTCCGCTGTGGCTGTAAGTTCTCGCATAAATATACCCAAAATGGGATGGTACCGTTCTATGGGAGCTTTACCAAAACGTAAACTAACATTGATAATTGTTGGTAGGAACATTTCGATTTTTCGAATTCGATTGTAAGATATGCCCAAACATCCCCCTAAAATATCGAATAATGGGGGTTATCACTATGTAGGAGCTGCACGGAAATTTGGACCAATATCGATCATTCTACTCAATGAGAATCCCAAATATAAACATACAGCTAATTTGGATCAAGTACATGTCCAAGCTCCCCAAAATACCGAACTTTGGGATGTAGCGTTATATGGAAGATTCCTTAAAAAGTGAAACTATATTGATCATGTTTAATAGGAAGATTTGACACCCCATGGTTCTCTAAAAAATCAATTTAGAGCCAATTCGGTTAAAAACATGTCCAAACCCCCCAAAATACTGAATAACGTGGGTTACCGTTATGTGGGGGCTACTCGGAAACATGGGCCAATGTTAATAATTTTTGGTAAGGACATATTCTACTTAATGAAAATCCAAAATATAAAATTGCTCTCATATCGGTCGAAACACGCACTCAATCTCCCCAAAAATCCATCTTTGGGGTATAGCTTTATAAGGGATCTTCCCTAAAAGCTGGACCAATATTGATAATTTTTAGTAGAAAATAACAAATTGCAACCACAACCGAAAATAACAAATTACAACCAATTAGGTAGAAGCATGTGCCCAAAGTTATGAATATTTGGGAGTACCGTTGTATGGGGGCTATACCAAAACGTTGACCGATATACCTCGTCCTAGGAGCAATAGCAATGCATGTGCAAAATTTCAAATATTGCGATATCTATCGGGTTTTTTAAAAGACATATAGGACATACAAACGGACACCCATAAATCGACATAGAATTTTATTCTGTTCAAAAATATACGATACAAGCAGCAGAAGAACGACAGTTTCATAGGGTAACGAGAGTGGTTATAGTCTAGAATTTAAAATCCCAATAAAAAACTCTCAGCTGGTGGAAATAACAATAATCTTTTCAGCTATATTCTCTCACTTAGAGGCCCTGCCAGAAATATCTGTTGTCCCTTCTATTTCCTCCTACAGTCACTATTCAACAAGAAAAATGCAAAAACCATAAAATGTCTATCATCCTCTAATGAGGCTTTGCTTTCAGGCTTTTACTTGCTTTCTAAAATCCCCACCTTGGCGGTGACGTGGTTAGACGCTAACAAGATTTTGAAAAGGATTTTCCCTCCAGTTTTCACAATGTGTTCATGCATGCATGAGTGCTTGAGGTTTCAGCTGTTTTGGCTAGAGGCGGCATGATGTTGATGTCGACAATGATGATGATTTTGGCCCTTTCTTTATCTTTCACTGTTGCTTCCACCACTTTGAAAGTGTTTCTTCACACAACTCGTTCGGGTAGTTAAAATGTTTTCTCAAGATTCGACCACTAATTTTATTTCAACATTCATTTAATTTTGGTCGGTTAAATTTGAACGTAAAATGGAGAGCCTATTCGGTATGACATTCCCGTAAAATAATATTTATTGTATATCAGAGTGAATTGAAGCTAACATGCAGCTATGTATAACTTCTCGGTATTTTTAAGGTCTTGGCTCATTTTCCAACCGAAAAGACTGTAATTTGGCATTTATAGATTTTAAGGATGGCGTATATGTGTGCGCAGAAACCGATCATTATAGGTCTATGTTTTTTACATAACCTCTATATAAAGGTTCCGCCTAATTTTCGGCATTTGGAGGGTTTTAGCCCTACCGAAAGGCTGTAATTTGGCATTGCAGGTTCTTTCCTTCTTCCTAGAAATAGTCCAATATAGGTCAATGTTTGTAAATACATACAGAGGTCCCGTTCAATTTTTCCTATGTTAAACCAGTAAGGAAAGAAGTAAAGTCGGACGGGGCCGACTATATGATACCCTTCACCACTATGGGTATATTAAACAGATGCATCCTAACAGACCTCGGACCATTATTATGACATTGGATGAACTAAAATATGTGATCCTTATCTAAATGTGAACCGACTTAGATCAATCCATATACATGTCATTCGTTTGTTACAATGGGACAAACGTATGTAAATCGATTTCAAACAAATATCAATCGGACATCGGTCGTACTGTGTCTGTAATTCTACAAAACACAACTACGTTATTCTATGCTCAAATTGTGCAAAATTTCATGTCAATCTGAAAAACATGAGGAGTTTAATGTACCATTTACATAAAATCGGACGAAAATATATATGGGAGCTATATCTAAATCTGAACCGATTTTCGCGAAACTTGGCAGACATCATTCAATTCAGTACGTTATGCCAAATTTCGTGGAAATCGAAAGATATATAGGGACTTTGGTGTGCCATTTACATAAAATCGGACGACACTATATTTGGGAGCTATATCTAAATCTGGACCGATGTTCACGAAATTTGGTAGACATCGTTCTAGGCTAAATTCAGTACATTATGCCAAATTTCGTGCAAATCAAAAGATATATAGGGACTTTGGTGCACCATTTCCATAAAATCGGACGAAACTATATATGGGAGCTACATATAAATCTGCACCGATGTTCACGAAACTAGGCAGACATCGTTCTAGGCTCAATTCAGTACATTATTCCAAATTTCGTCCAAATCGAAAGATATATAGGGACTTTGGTGCGCCATTCACATAAAATCGGACTACACTATATATGGGAGCTATATCTAAATCTGGACCGATGTTCACGAAACTTGGTAGACATCGTTCTAGGCTCAATTCAGTACACTATGCCAAATTTCGTGCAAATCGAAAGATATATAGGAACTTTGGTGCACCATTTACATAAAATCGGACGAAACTATATGTGGGAGCTATATCTAAATCTAGTCCGATTTTCACGAAACTTGGCACACATCATTCTAGACTCGATTAAGTGAGCTATGCCAAATTTCGTGCAAATCGAAAGATATATAGGGACTTTGGTGCGCCATTTACATAAAATCGGACGTGACTAAATATGGGAGCTATATGTAAATCTGAACCGATAAGTGACCTGTGCGAATTTTCATCCAATTCGAATCATAAATGCGACCTGTACTTTGTTTACAATTTAACATCAACAGACGGACGGACGGACATGCATAAATCGAATTAGAAAGTGATTCTATGCATATTCTCAAAAAGAACCATATGTTTATCTCGTTTTCTTTTGCATGTTACAAACATATGCACAAAGACATAATACCCTGTACAACAGTGTGGTGAAGGGTATAAAAAACCAAAAGGTCCCGAGTGTATAGTGTACAAAAAGTTCGGTTGGACCGAATTTAACTACGTTTTTACTTGTTTTAATTCTTTTGTGGAGATTCTGGCTGATATCTATGAGGTTCCTGGAATATAAACATATGCTCATTTTTGACCTAATTTTAAGAAAAATAAGAATTTCAAAGAAAATTTAAGTAGGGCAACACTGATACTATTCTTTGCTCTACTGCAGCTGTCATTGTTTTTTCTTTCATCATTGTTCCGCCATTTCGGCAAAAGACCACTAAAGTGTGTAAGTGTTAACAGCTCGAATTGGAACAAAGAATAACCGAGTGCTAACTTGGCAATTTCAAAGCCAACTAGCAAGGCAAATGAAATCCAAAGAAGGAACTTAAGGTAGACATCCATAGAAAATAAATGAAACGAAAGACAAAAAAGAAATTTCCCAACTTTTTCAAGAAAACCAACAGAAGAAAAACATATAATTCCTAGAAATGCTTTAGTCATGGTAAATGAGAGTGCATTGAAGTTGAAGTGGTTGGTCTATTAGTATTTGGTTGGCCGCAAAATACATATTTTCCTGAATAACATAACATCCACATACATTCTATTTTAATTGGTTTTTCATGAATATTCATAGCTATTTAATTATTTCTTATGCCCACACTCAAACACACACGTTATTTCGTTCATTCACTCCAATTCAATTCACAAGAAACTCTTTCATTGTGTAATATTGGTGAGAGGAAAATAAAGTGTAGGAACATAAAAATGTCTAACCTCAATGCAAGGGCAATTTCCGTTATGTTATCATATCCGGCTTAAACGATTTTGCTGTTGTCATCTCCTTTTTATGATTTTTTCTTGGCTCTTGGTTTTAAAATAGAAACATGTGTGAGTGTGTGTGAGAT